CCGCCACTTGTCGATTCGGTAAAAGATTATGTAGAAAATTATGTACAACAAGAATAATCATTTTTTAAACTATGCACTTTTTCATCTTTGTTGCAGTTAAATTGAGAGGACTGAAATTATTAATGACCATTTTTGGTAAAGATAATTTTTCACCTTCTAAATTCACACGTTGAATTTTGATGAACGTATTTATTAGCTACTAGATAAAACCGTTTGATTGTATCGGTTTATGGTCAGGGTCGAATGCCAGCCGGTCTAACAGTCTAAATCAAACCAGTTAATCACACGCTTCACGGAATATTGCAATTAAAATGAAGAGGATGAAATTTTTTAGTGAATTGTATATAAATAAGATTAAAGCATCGTAACCTTATTTATGTTTTACATTTAAAAAAAGTCAAATCGTCATAATCATTTCATTAGACAGTATTTCTCAGCTGACCCTTTTTTCAAATCATTAGGAAAAGAGACCATAATTCATGAAGAAACCGCCGCAATTTATGGGATTTTCATTAGACAAAAAGACATCACTGCAGGTTAAACCAAGCAAGCACTATTGCTATTCCACAGCAAGAATTTGGTGGTCAATCTGCCCGGAAATTGTTGTCCAAAATTAACCAACAAGTCAGTAACACTCTCCAGGGTTTATTAAGGTAGTTTACCACGTAACATTTCTTGTCGTGTATAATTTTCATGTCAAGTGTTACGATATATCACGTGTCACGTCTCATAAAAAAAGTTAAAAGCTTATGAGTGTGTCCAAAAGCGTGGTCGAGTAACAAGAATCTAGAAAGCACGTATCAAACAATTAGATCAATTTCCACAGCCACAGGTGCAGCTTCTTAAGCACTTCTCTTTCACTGTGAAAACTTGAAACTAAGAAGCAATGGCACTTTAAACACAATATCATTAAAAACCCAGAAACAGAACATTTACAATCCACTTGTAAGCTACTTCAATCTTTCCCTTTTACTACTTTCTTTTCACCAAAACTCACATTAACCTAATCTAATTGCATCCACATAAATATTAATATTCTATCTAGCAGTGATTTCTTAACTCATAATCGAACCTCATGGCCCCGATACCTTGGCAACATAACTATTAACCAAAGCCAGTGCATTGCTAGTCACCTCCTTCACCTTCACAACACGGCCACATACGTCCGCTTTCATCGGCCCATCTGGCACATCCTCAAATCCATCAGTACACGTGTCCTCATTCGTCAAGGCCGCGCTCATCCACGTCTGTACATTACTCATCTGAAACCTTAGGGACTCGCCAGAGCCGCTTAGCCGGCGCATTTGCTTGACCGAGTCGCGCATTTGATCAACTGCATCACCAAAGAGCGAGAAACAGTCGTGTAGCGCTGCAGTGGCTCGGTGGTCAGCGCCATAGTCGGCTTCCCGGGAGAGGTTGGAGACGTAAGCTGCCATGCGCTTGGCTCTAGACAGGCTCACGCCAACCGCCACGCGGGCCAGTCGGGCAGGGTCTTGTTGTACGGCATAAGAATAGCCAGCTAGGGAATGGTAGCATAATTCTGGGTATAATGTGGTTGCACAACTTGTCCGGATGTAAGAACTGTCACTCGCGGGAGTCGGCTCAGCTGCAGGGACAGCAGTGGTGTCGATCGAGTACCCGAAGGAAAGAACTTGGTGGATTAGGAAGAAGAGAATTGTGTGAACGGAAAATGGACATAAGTTTTTCATAGTGTTTCTAGTTCAATTCGTGGACTTACTTTGGATGTAATGTGTGTATTCTAGGGACGATGTGGAAGGAGCTTAAGTAAGGGTATTGAATTAGTGATATGACAATCATGCCCTTGAAGGTCTAATTTTATTACGACAATAATGGATTGTTTCCCTAATTTTATCTGTCGCACATGGGTACATGATTATTTTGCTTCCTTAGTGGGTCATCAAGGTCCATATAATTCTAATATTTAAATCTTATTAGCATCGACCATGTGATAATCTCGTATAGAATAAATTCAAATTTTCAAATAAGTCTTGAACTAAGAAAGCTTGTCTAATCGATCACTTATTTTAAAGTAATTGCGAGGATAATTATTCTAGTCCAATCGAGAAGATGTCCTTAATTTTATATAAAGGATGATCAAAATAAACTAAATGAACTCTCAAAGAACGATCTACATAAGAATGAGTGAACATTCACCGTGGAGTAGAACAAGTGAACAACAAGGGTTTGATCCTACTAACCTCATTAGACCCAAGTAAATTCGTCTAAGTCAGAACGTCTAATAAACTCCTTTAATTAAAAAGAAAAAGAAGAAGATATAAATGTAATATAAAAAGTAAAAGTATTAAATGTCAAAACATATTGAATAATGCTATGTGTATACCATAAGGTGTACACAAGGCCTTACACCCCCCTCACATGGAGGGGGGCCCACAAATATTTTATGTGCCTGGGTCTCCCTCCATGTGAGGAGGGTGTAAGGTCATATGTACACATAGCACTTTCCAAACATATTATCCAGCAAAATGACGTCCCTTGTTATCAAGAAATCTAGATTTCTATAGATGGTACACGTACACGTTCAAAAGGCATGAAAATATACACTCAACACACTTCATTTATGTGATCTTTTGACAGTTCATTATCAGACCAGTTTGTTAATTCGATCTTTAGAGTGTTTTTAAGACACCAAGCAAGTGTCAAGCATCTTGTACAGAGAAAAATAACATTATGGACAACAAAAATTAATTATCTATTAACTTTACAATATTTCAAGGGTAAATGACCTATTCAAATTCTCATTGGATACCGGTCCCCGTTTGGTCCCCATTTTCTAAAATTCAACTTTCCTAAAATTCATATTTAACCACGCATTTTATTAGATTCACAACTTTGATGCCCCATTTTCGTCATTCTCTTACTCTAATTTAAGTCTTGTTGTACGCGCTGTCGTAGTTGGTGAATTTTTGGACAACTTTTGAAGTATGCATTCATTAATTTTTATTAAAATCTACTAAAAATATGAATTTTAATTAAATAAAACAGGGTTGAGTAAACATTATACTACTAACAAATCTTTGTTTATTATGGTAATAACTAATTAATTCAAGGGCATAGATGACACCAACATTTTTATGATTGTATTTGTGGTTGGGTAGTTATAAATAGTGTGAAATGGTCGCATGCCAAAAAAAATAAAAAAGAGAGAGGACAGTTCGAGTTTGATATTTGCTTTGGCCGCCAATTTCGCCTTTCTCCTTTTTCTAATTGCTGCCAACTACCGTGCACTATTCTTATACCAACTCAGTGTATACACCACACAAGTGGATGAAAATCAAGTAAAATAATTATAGTGATGGAACCTAACCTAGTATTTAAAAATTTTTAAAAAGGGTTTAAGAATACTCGAAATTACGTAAACTTAAGTGATTTTTTTTTTTTTTTAGTTCATCGGTTAAAGTTTCAGTTTCGTTTCAATTTGATAATTAATAATGATTTTGTCCAAAAATAAACATCATTTCTTGAATAACAAACAAAATTTCTTGCGTTGAAAGTAAGAAGTAAAATGACTAAAAGAAAGTCTACTTAGAATTGAATGACATCTAATAGTTTCGATTTCATTTCAACTGCCAAATAAATTTTGGAGCACTCAATGCTCTACAAGATATATAAAAGCTTGATTGACAAAGATTTTTAATGTTTTTTTTCCTCGAATCATTTTCAACCAAATATTTTATTGGATACACAAATTTTCTCACTTTTTAACAACAAATTGTCCGAAAAAAGATCAATTTTTACTTGAAAAAATTATGTCAAACAAGCTTTAACATGTTCATCTTAGTTTTAATGGTACGAAGATAACAAAAAATTGCTTCTTTCTACAAAAATAAATAAATAAATCAAGAGAAGACAAAACCCTAGACCGTAAAAAAAAAAAAAAAAAAAAAAAAAGGCCGCCTGTGAGTCCCTATTCTTCTTCCTCCTTATTTCTTCTATGTTTTCTCTTTTCTCCAGTCAGCGGCGCCTAGCGAAATTGAAGGCTCCGACGGATCCAGCTCGGATGGCCACGCCCCTTCGCCGGGTGTTGGGTCTGCCCCTGTTCCTCAAGATTTTTTTTATCTATAATTTTAGAAAAAAATCGATTTTTGAGAATAAAACATAAACGAAGAAATGTGTTGACACATAAGTACATAATATTCGTTGAATTTTTTTTTTTATAAAACTTTCAAGGAAAAGAAGAATCATAGAAAATTCCTTATATTATTTTCTGTACAGTTGAGAGGTACCTAAAAACTTCTTTTCCACTCTTGAGAATAGGCCACAAGATAATTACTAAAAGTGTTTGCAGGGGGTGTTTTAGCCATCTGTACTAATCACAGGGCAAGGGTAGTAATTTTGGGTTATGCTGCAAGTACAGAGACCATTTTTATAGGTCCTGTCAGGCAACACAGATGGTGGAGCCCTTGTTAATTCATTATTATTATTATTATTTTTAATATATGTGGGGCTGGTCCATTTGTGAGGGACCTGTAAGTCCCCTGTGAAAAAAATCTTATGTACTTGGAGATTTATCCAATAATTTTAGCTCCATAATTTAATAATAAGTGTATTCTGAGATGGAGCTAAAGCTACATAAACATAATCTGCTTGAACTTTTAGAAGATTAAATAAATTTAACCTAAAATATGCTTAAAAGTAAGACTAAATTATGGGACCAAAGTGAAAAGAAAACAAATGCATGAAATTAAGTTGTAATGCTGAAATAAAATAAGATAAGAGCTCAAGAGATTTAATGGCAATCAGCAGATGAAAGGGTGAATTATGCAAGTGAATATTTTGGTACTTAAAGATGAAATCGGGGCATTCATTCACTTAGCAAGTCACCTACTGTCACCATTTCATGGCTGGAATTGGAGTTTCAAACAACCTTGTAACAGTAACTTCAAAGAATTGTCTTAAACGGATATCCTCTTGTTCAATAATAAATTTAATATTGACACGTTCTCTGCATATATTAATTTAACGACTCTTTAACTTGCAAGAAGATGTAGAGCTAAATTTTGGACGCGCCAAAATCACTAACCACTTATAATATTATTTAAAAATGGAACACTAAACTTTATTCTCTCTCTTTCCACTCACAGCAACTATTTTTATCTCCCTTATCACTCTCTGTATCTCACTTCACACTCTCTCTCTGCTCTTACACATTTCACACACAAATACACAATACAAACATCAGTATAGATAGACGCAGGAATGTCAATGAAATTGCCGACTTTCTTCTTCTGAAAGAATTCTTCAATTGACGGTGGCTGAATATTTTGATTGCAGATTCTAGATTATTCTCAAGCCTACATGAAGAAGAAGGTTCAAGAAATGGACAGTAAAATATGAGATGGAAAAACCTACAAAAATCTGGAAGTTTCTTTAAAGTCGATGATGAATTCTATAATCATTCTTTCAGAACAGACTTTTTATTTTGACTTTGTTCTTTTTCGTTATACCCAACTCTGCCTTAAACTCAACAAGTTTTGAAGCGTTTCGTCCTCCATTTAATGCATCTGCTACTTCAAATATATTTGGCTCAACCTTGCTTTCATCTTCATGGATTTTTAGATTAATACTTAATTTCTCATGTCTACTCAATTTACTTATTTGTGGTTGTAAATTTGTATGTATCTCAAACTACGTCGATCCTCCCTTAGTGCTTTCTGGTCCACGGCATTTTATCAAGAATTTTGTGTCTCTCTTGCAAGTTCTTCTTTATGTCTTGACACTTGTAGATATTTAGATTCATTAGGACTTCGCTGTTGGGCTTCTTAATTTCTTCTTTCAATTTTTGATCTATTTTCTTTAAATCTTACAGCTCTACCCTCTGCGGTGTCTACCAAGAATATGTTTCTTTGAGCACCTCTTCGGAGTATGTTAATTCCTCTCTCTGCAGAGTTCACCAAGAAGACTCTTCATGAACCACAATATCATCTCCTGAGTCATCGATCCAATCATCTTCGCAATCCAATTGTTCGGGAAGGACAACAACTAACGCTGATTCGTCATTTAAACTTGAATAATGCTTTTCCTCTTCTTTCTTTATTAAGTACCTCGAGCATTTGTTTAATCAATGCTTCTTGGTCGGCCAGCAAATTTTCGAGATTGATTAATGAAGGTTGTTCTGGCTAACCTTGTCTTGAGGCGATGAATTATCTAAATTCTAGTCTCAGACCGTATATAATTATTCTTTTCATCCTGGATTTTGAAATCTTACTTGAATAATCTAATTCTGAAATTTCGCGACAACAAGATTTAACTTTATTAAATATTGACTTACCATTTGTTTTCTTAGCTGATCGAGAGCAACTCGATCTCTAGTAATTGCAACCTTAAGTCATTTTTCTTTGAGAATAATGTGGCAAAAGTGTCCCATGCTTTCTTCAGTATGTTCTTATCTCTTATATACTCCAACAATACTTCCTCAATTGTTGTCTTTATAACGAA